ACAATAATCAATGTCTAACTGACAATAATTCTGTTCAGGAATGGAATGAAAATGAAAGTGTCATGCACTGAGTTTATAATCAGCATTCCTCTTTTCAATCATCCATGATTAACCGTATTATCAATTATCATGTTTCAGTATGCTCCTGTGTGAACTGCTTGACTGCAGATATACAAAAGACACATGCTTTTAGTTTATACCCAACCTAATACATTTGTGACTCCTCAATATATAGATTTGCATATCATGTATTTTGCTTTTAATTTGCCACTGGAAGATTATAGAGCTTTAAAAAGCAAAGAATTTACAGTGGAATAAAAGGTTGAGATAAGTAAATGATGTATGTGGAACTAGGGTCTTGTCACAGCAGAAGAGAATGTGAGACTAAAACCACCTCCTAAAAATCATTGTTGTTTCCCAGAAGCACAAGTCCAGTGTTGAAAGTCTCACAATATTTGGTGGCTTTCTTTAAACAGCAACTCCTGGAAGCATATGATTAGGTGAGAATCTTGAACTGAAACCTTTATAAAATGAAAGTTTCTCACCCTCAGCCATGCCAAAGGCTCAGAAACCTGAAGAAAGATAGAAACCTCAAACTTCTTTTTTAATTGTCACGATTTTAAGCCAATCTTATGATTTTTGAATGGTTGGAGTTGGCAATACTGCGCATAATGCTGGGAACCAGGTAATTCCTACACAACTGGTCACTCAGTTTTGCACAACCTGACAGGTTTTGGTTTTATCACTCATTTATTAGATTCCTAGGGAGGAAGAAAAAAAAGTTGAATTCTAGTGTCTCAAATGCAGACTAACCAGACAAACTGATTTACCTGCCAACTTTTGACTGTGCAGCCCATTCAATGGAAAGCTACTTACCCTACAGGAACTGAAGTTCTTTGAGAGGTGTTGTCCATATGCACTTTCCATTATAGGTGCATGGGCACCTCATTCCCTTGAGTCTGGAATCTTTGGCCAGCAGTATCCAGACAGTGTGCGTGCACCCTGAGTTCTCATGCTCTGCATCGAGGGCATATAAGAACAGAGTGCACCAGTGCTCCTCAGTTTCCTCTCAACTGCAGCATCTCAAGGATAAGGACCCTAAAGGTGAGGGGTGGTGGGTAAGTTGTGGAATGTGCATGTAGACAACACATCTCGAAGAACTCCTGTTACTGTACAGGTAAATAACTTCCCATTCTCCTTCGCATGGTTGTCCATATGCACATTCCAGTATTGCTTACTCCCAGGCAGTAACCTCAGAGTCTCCGCTTTGACCACTTCATACTGAAAGCTATTAAAAATATCAAAACTATTAACTACTCAGTAGAAATTAGCTGGCAGTCGCACAGACTGCAAGCTCCCTCTCAAAGCCAGAAGCACTGAGGAGCACTGATGCACTCTGCCCTTACATGCCCTTGATGCAGAGCATGAGGATTCTCAGGGCGCATGCACACTGCCTGGTCCTACTGGGTAAAGACTAGGGTGCATGCCAGGATACTGCTGGCTAAAGACTCTGGACTGAAGTGCATGAGGCACATGTGCACCAATAGTGGACAGGCCACTGACTCCTGCAACCCAATTGCTATGTAATAATGTAGTAGTTAAAGGTGCAATGCGTTTAGACTACCTTAGAGCCCACTGTCTTCCGAAGGCTATACTCCAGTGTATTAAAGCCATAGGTTATAAAGAAGTTCTGGCGTTACAAAGCTGTGTTATGCTAGAAAGTAGCAAAATTGCCTTTTTCCTTTTTTCTCCATCTGTCCAAACTTTCAACACTTCAGAATAGAAGGTCATGTGAGGGTACTGCAAAACAAAGGTTCTCTAAAACCTCCTATTTACTTAGTGGTGGAGGAGACTTGGAAGAACAACATTTATTCTGTTCCAAGATTGTAGATAACTTGATTTTAAATCCTGATGTCTGCCAGTCACGCTGACGTTAATTTGGATGCCTACATTGCATTGTCGCTGGCTTGCAGCCCACTTACAGCAAGCCTTAGGGATGGATAAGCTCCTAAAACAAATGGGCCTTTGTTCACTGCTCACTATTTTATATACGAGTGAGGGATTTCAGAAGTATATAATCAATCCAGCTCATACCTTAATACTGAATAGGTCACTTTGAGTTAATCTGCATCTTTTCTAGGGGCAGGTGTTGGGTCATGTAGATGTATTATTCTCTGCTTAATTAGGTTCTGCTTTGTACTTCATCTTTCTTGATTCTTGCTTAGTGTTCGCTATATTAATATTAAATACTGTAGATTTCCTTAAAGAGCAATGTCCTGTATTTTTGAAGTTTATCTCAGTGGTTTGAGCATTGGCCTGCTAAACCCAGGGTTGTGAGCTCAATCCTTGAGGGGGGCCATTTAGGGAACGTGGGGGGGGGGGGAACTGTCTGGGGATTTGTCCTGCTTTGAGCAGGGGGTTGGACTAGATGATCTCCTGAGGTCCCTTCCACCCTGATATTCTATGATTTCTATAGACATATGAAGACAGATGCTCACTTTCCATTACATCTTTCAGAGCAGCCCTGCCTCTTATAGAATGTACTGAATTGGAACTGGAGCTGTTTGCACTGTTTTTAGGATGACTGGGGCAGAAATATAAGATTTATTATCAGTTATTGCATCTGCTTTATGCTCTTTCTGTCCCTCTGTGAGAGCGAGATGAATACAGGAAAGGAGTGAAATGAGTTATGACTTCAGGGTAAAGTCAAGGAACTGTAGGGGGAAACTTTCATTCTGATCCAAGCTTCTAAGGGGAGAATATTTGTACAGAGAAATGTAGTCAGCAAGTGTTTTCTTATGTTCTTTGCTGCACTGGAGAGACTTGTGGTTTTGACATCAGCATTTTCCCTCATTGCTCAGTTTCTTCTTCTATTTGATCATGAAGTCCTAATGTGTTTGGCATCAGCCTATTACCATATAAGTTATTGTGATGCTACCAGTTCAGCAGCATGACTTCATTTGCAGGTTCAAGTAGAAGGAAGAGAGATAGAAAGCCTTTGTATAAACACAGATATATTTGGTAATTAGCAAACCTGAACTGAAAACAAAAATCCACTTACCCTCCATATGGTTTCCTTCTCCCCTTAATAACTTTTTGTAATATACTGAATACTTCCTCCTGTATGAAAGTCGCTCTTTAAAAACCAGAGCAGATTTTGAGGTCTAGTAGCAAGAGAGTCTATGGAGGAAAAGAGCTTTTTGTATCTCCCCTGGCCAGATGGATTGTGAGTGGTATCGTTGGCTGCTGCAGGGTTGCGCTCATGTATTTCCTGTCTCTGTAAAGACCTGTGCTAGATTGTAGGCTGTTTGTAAAGGAAAAAGGAAGAGATGGAAAGGAAGTTAATGCTGAAAGGTAGCTAGGTACTGTGGCTGCACTGTGCTGAATGTGTACCAGGATGCTGTCTTTATGGGGCCACCTGCAGCATTAATACACAGCCTACAGTAGTGAGCTATCAAGATACACTACAAATGTGATTACTAGTGTGGCTTGTTAGGATATTAATATGTTTATCAGATACTTATATTAAAAAGCAAATAAACCAGATGCTGTTAGAAAACTGATTTCTTTAACTCAAGTCCCATATGCAGTGTGGTATGTTTTTCCTAACGCAGTTTTCCACTTCCCTCCAGTAGGTAAGAAATAGGGCTGAAGAAAGATTACACTCAGTCCTTATAATTAAAGTGTAGGTACCTACTGATTTATTAAAGTTCTTTAATTTATAATTCCATTCAAGCTCAGAACTGACAGCTGAACAAAAAATTCTGCTGCTTCCATTTACTTCCTCATAGAGTTCTCATGACCCCCTTCAAAAAACATAACACATACAAGAAGAAGTAACACTGTCCAATTTCACTGCATTGCCTAGCTTATACATAGCTTAAATATGTACTGGATGTCTCGGGTGATAACTCACCAGCCAGTAGGGTGACCAGATGTCCCGATTTTATAGGGACAGTTCCGATTTTTGGGTCTTTTTCTTATATAGGCTCCTATTACTCCCCACCCCCGTCCTCGATTTTTCACATTTGCTGTCTGGTCACCCTACCAACCAGGGCAATTGATCTAGCTAGTGAAACACACTATTGTCACTTAAATAATTGAATAATAATGGTCCTTATGTATTGTGATGGGTTCCCCCTGGGGTGCCACCTGGAACTGGGGGTACCACTGAGCCCACCTGACCCACCAGCCTGGGTTCCCTTTACACTATATTGCTGTGACAGGCTCTCAATCTCCCTCCAGCACACGTACAGGTAGGGACACACCCAGCTGCAGTTACACAGAGATGCTGAGATCAGCTCTTCAAGGGAAGGCTCAGCTAAGGCACCTCCCAGTTCCTAAGGCACGCACTCACCTCTGGAGTGTAAACCCAAAATTGTACCGTCTTGTGTTGCACAGGGAACTGTACAGTATAAGCTCATGAAATTAGCTCCCTCCCTCAATGTGGAAAGGAATATACACAGCTTTCTGCCCCAGCTAATAACTCCTGCACACACTGGTTTTAGACAAAACAAAAACAAGTTTATTAACTACAAAAGATAGATTCTAAGTTATTATAAGGATAGCAAACAGATCAAAGCAGATTACCTAGCAAATAAAACAAAAACACAATCTAAGCTTAATATACTAAAGAAATTGGATATGAGTAGCAAATTCTCATCCTAAATGATGATTTAAGCTGGCTGGGGGCTCTTAAGGGCATGCTTCACTTGCTTGCAGCTTAAAACCCCAGGTATTCCTTTCACAGGCTAGAAATCCCTCTAGCCTGGGTTCAGCCCTTCTCCCCCAGTTCAGTCCTTTTTTCTCAGGTGTTTCTAAGCATCTGCTTTGGGTGGGGAGTCAGTGAAGAGTCACGTGATGTCACTCCCCTTAAATAGCTTTTGCATATGGCAGGAACTCTTTGTCTCCAACTTTAGTTCCCATGCCTTTCAGTGGAAACACACTGGTATTCCAAGATGGAGTCCAGTACCAGGTGACTTGGTCACATGTCCCTGTAGGGTCATAACAGCCATGAGTCAGAGGCTGTTTATAGCGTTCTCAGGAAAGCTCCCTGGTGGGAGATTAGCATCTTCTAAGACCTAATGGCCCTTCCCAGCCAGCCATCTAGACTGATTGCCTTCTGCCTACTGGGCATTCCCGAGGTGTAAACACATTTGTAATAGGTGCATAGGCAATATTCCTAACTTCAGATACCAAAATGATACACGCATACAAATAGGATAATCATATTCAGTGAATCATAACCTTTTCAATGATATCTTAGATGACCCCTCTTGCATAAAATACATCATAGTTATGCCATAATCATATCATAATAATATTGCTATGAAGAATATGGGGCATAATGCCACATGTATATTAATGCTTTAGAAAAAATCACAGCCCACTACACAACGCATGCATGTGTGGACACACGCACATTCACTCTCTCTTACATGTGGCTATTTGTACACTATTTCGACAGAACAGGAGAAGGAACTCCTTTACATAGCATTGCTCAGTTCATGCCCTTGAAGCATATGACTTAGCTAGCATAGCTGAAAATACAGTTCCTACATAAAATATATGTATATATGATCCTTTCAAAAATCCCACACACTGTGTGTCTTATTGACTTCCTGTGATGCAGATTCCATGGATTAAAGAAATGTTTCTTTTTCAGTGTAAAACTTTTACAAAAGTTCCGTTTCCCCTCTCAGTGTAAGGTACTATTAAAAAAAAATGTTTAACTAGAAAACACAATTACAAAAATGCCTGATTGGTGAATATTTCTAGTCTCTTGATCTCTATAGTATATAAAGGTGTTATACTTTGGAAATGTTACTGTTGTATTATTCTTATCAAAAGATGTGCTTGTTTTATATACTAATGGTTTTTCTTTGTTTTCACAGATATGCTCTTTCTTCAGGGATCAGAGGTTATATTTAAAGTGGCTTTAAGCCTGTTGGGAAGTCACAAACCCTTGATTCTGCAACATGAGAACTTAGAAACCATAGTGGATTTTATTAAAAACACTCTCCCAAACCTGGGCTTGGTACAGATGGAAAAGACCATTAATCAAGTATGAGACAATCTGAACATTTACCTATTATCAAGAGAAATGATGTTCTTATTAGCAGAAGTTAGGAGCAGTAGTATTCTTTTGTAAAATCACAGTGGAGAAAAGTGCTTGTGGTATTCCTAGTTGAGAATAGGTTACTAATTGTAGTTTGGAATATGTTAAAGAAGCTTTCGAACCATATTACTTATACAGTACCTGGGCATCCTTACATATTAGTTAGTCATCATTAATTACATTAATTACATTTACAGTTCTGATTTTTACTAAGTGTATTTAATTGATTTTCATTTTGTTGGCAATAATACTGTATCCTAGATACAGTGCATTCTACAGGTTAGGCAATAAGGTGGGTTGAATGACTACTATGCTTATCCATTTCCAGAGTCTGATTCTCTACATCTAATTTCAGAAGAAAAAAATAGTTTTACAAGAGCCTCGTGCACGTTAACTTTTCTTACCCACGCCATAGACTTCTCTTTGTTGATGATGTCTGCTCTGCCAAGTTGTATGATGCAAGTTTGTTAATACGTAGCAAAATGCTGTGGAACATCAAACTTATCTTCCAGGCAGAGGAGATGGGATGGTGCACTCTCCTGCATTCAGTCATAGTACTGGGAAACATTGAGTCATCCCTCAAGATGGCAGTTATTCCATTGGGGAGAGAAATGATGAAACACTACTGTGATTAAAACGTGGTTCTAACGGATGCACAGTGTAATCTCATTTATCCAAATCTCTTCCTTGTCCCTCAGTGTGAGGTACATGCTACAGAGGGCATCTATCTCATGCTGGGACAAGGAAGGGATTGGGATAATGCGGAGGTCTGGATAACAGAGAAAAGACCCACAGTCAGCATTGCGAAGAGGAGGACGAGACCCCGGGTGCAGAGGAGGCCACCCTGCTGCTGAATGGCTCCTGTGGCAGCCAGGGAGACCTCTGCAGCCTCGCTGTCACAGGAGTGAGGGAGCAGGGTCATGACAGCAGAGCTGCAGAGTTCTCCCTGCACTGCTGCAGGACCAGTGACACCTGATCCCAGAAGATTCCGGGGGATGGTAGGGTGGCTGTGGTTCTGGCAGGATAGAGCAGAGACCACTCCCCCTAGCCTGGACTGCAAGGAGGAGTACCTGGTGGCCACCCCACTGCTGAACGGCTCCTGCCCTGTCAATTATCCGAAATCCCGATTATATGTCGCCCAGGATGTTTGAATAATCGGGAGTATACTGTATTTGTGGGTCTGTAAAGAACATGGATAACCCGTGTTTGCAGTGGTCTGCATACAGACCCTATTACCCTGAAAATGACCTGCCCATGACAACTGATTCACAGTGAGGGGAAATACAGACAGCAAGTATTGCTATTTTATTATCTGCATTGCTGTAGTGCCTAAATGCCCTAATCATGGACCAGGATCTCCTTGTGCCAGATGCTGTACAAACACAGAACAGAAATGTGGTGACTTTTTCCCCTTTCCTTTCCCCAAAGCATGGTGAGGTTCACTCTGCAGTTGGAGCTGCATTTGCCTGTCCACAGATAGCCGTGGGGGTGAGAAGTGAGAGTGGGCTTCAAACCAGAAGGATCCATGGTGAAAGCACTACAACCCTGCAGAATGGCCTTGGGGGAATGGCTTTCCATTTGCTTGCAGCAATGCTCCTCTAAAACAAACAGGCTCATTAAACTAGCTAAGGATTTTTCCCAACAGTTAATATCAGAGGAAGGTGGGCAAAATTAGAGGGGATTGGTGTCTAAGGGGGAAGGACATTAACAGTGTTGGTACTCTCCAGAGGGGTAGATTATGTACAGTGCACAAAAGCCAGAGTGCAGGGTTGTACAGAGAGACCTATGCCTAGGTGAGCTGAGGGAAACTGCTAGGTCTGAGCAGAAGCGACGGGGTATTTTGCCCCGCGTTCAAACTGCTCTAGTTTCAGAGCAGGCAGGTAAAATGACCTGAGGACTGAATAGCTGCTTTCCTTTGATAAGGACTGCTGCTAGAGAGAGCAGCTGATTGATCGCAGATTCTACAAGGCTACAAGGCAACTCCGTATCCTCCCACCTCCCCCAACTGGAGCCTGTGGCTTCTATGCCATAACTTGCCCTAAGTTTGTTAGCTTTTTAGGTGAAATTTTTGATTTGCCTAATGTTCTGTCCTTTTGGAGTTGATGCTTTGGTTATGACAGCAGGGACTTCCCTCCCCCCTCTGAGTGCAAAGGAGTTTGGAAGACAGCGGTCATGACAAAACTAATAGTTTGCTTTGCTGAATTGCATAGGTTGATTCTGAAAGTCACAACTCTGTATTTTCTACTGAATCTTTCATTTTCATAGAAAATGGAAATCCCATACATGCAAATGAAAAATAGGAAGAATAGTAAGCGGCCAATGAGGCTCCCTCAGGAGCTCTTTAATGACCTGAAAATCAAAAAGAAATCTTACAAAAAGTGGAAATGTGGACAAATTGCTACAGATGAGTACAAAAGATAGCAAAAGCATATAAGGACAAAATCAGAAAGGCTAAGGCACAACATGAGTTATACCTTGCAAGGGACATAAAAAGCAATAAGAAGAGGTTCCATAAATACATTGGGAGCAAGGAAAAGCTGAAGGAAAGTGTAGGTCCTCTACTTAGTGGGGAAGGAGAGCTAATGGATGCCATCAAGAAAGCTGAGGTGTTCAATTCCTATTTTTCTTCAGTCTTTACTAAAAAGGTAAATTGTGACCAGATTCTTAACAAAGGGGAAGGAACACAAGCCAAAATAGGGAAAGAAAAAGTTAAAGAATATTTAGATAAGTTAGATGTATACATCTAACAGCAGAGGCTTATGAAATTCACCCTAGAGTACTTAACAAACTAGCCAATTCAATCTCAGAACCTTTAGCGATTATCTTCAAGATCTCATGGGTGATGGGTGAGGTCCCAGAGGACTGAAGAAGGGCAAACATAGTAACTTCCCTTTTTTAAAGGGAACAAAGAAGTTCCAGGGAATTCTAGACCAGTCAACCAAACATAGATAAATGGAAAGATACTGGAACAAGTTATTAAACAATCAATTTGTAAACATCTAGAGGATAATAGGATAATAAGTAATAGCCAACATGTATTTGTCAAGAACAATTCATGCCAAACCAACCTCACATCCTTCTTTGACAGGGTTACTAGTCTAGTGGATCAGGGGAAACTGTAGATGTGATATATCTTGATTTTAGTAAGGTTTTTACAGACCCACATGACATTCTCATAAGCAAACTAGGAGAAGTTGTCTAGATGAAATTACTGTAAGATGGGTTGAAAGACCATATTCAAATAGTAGTTATCAATGGTTCACTGTCAAACTGGGAGGCTATATCTAGTGGGTCCAGCATAGATCTGGCCTTGGCCCGATACTATTCAATATTTTCATTAATGACTTGGATAATGGAGTGGAGAGTACACTTATAAAATTTGCAGATAACACCAAGCTGGGAGGGGTTGCAAGCACCAGGGAGGATAGGATTAGAATTCAAAATGACCTTGATAAATTGTAGAATTGGTCTGAAATCAACAAGATGAGATTCAATAAAGTATTACATTTAGGGAGGAAAAATCAAATGCACAACTATAAAATGGGGAATAACTGCCTGGGCAGCAGTACTGATCAAAAGGATCTGGGGGTTATAGTGGGTCACAAATTGAATATGAGTCAACAGTGTGATGCACCTTCTAAAAAGGTTAAGATAATTCTGAGGTATGTTAACAGAAGTGTCATATGTAAGTCATGGGAGGTACTTGTCCTGCTCCACTCAGCACTGGTGAGGCCTCAGTTGGAGTACTGTGTCCAGTTCTGGGTGCCACGCTTTAGGAAAGATGTGGACAAATTGGAGAGAGTCCAGAGGAGAGCAGCAAAAATGTTAAAAGTTTTAAAACCTGACCTGTACATTTAAAAAAAACCTGGTTTGTTTAGTCTTGGGAAAAGAAGAGGGGGGGGGGGAAGACCTATAACAATCTTCAAATATGTTAAGGGCTGCTATTAAGAAGATGGTGTCAGGGATAATCTATGTATTCTCGGTCCTGTTTCTTGAGGTCCCCTCTAATCTTATGTTTCTGTGATTTACTTGTACCTAAACTATGTTTGAGATCCAGTCTTTAATGTTCAGAAGCCCAAACATTTACACTCATGCTGCAGTAAAACTATTAGGGATCATTTTTATGGTGTGATTAATAAACAGGTAATATGAATTTTAAGATTGTTACAGTCATTTTATTATATAGCTGATATCTTCTTAAATTATATCCCTCCTGTAGCAATGAAAACTTTACCCCTTGAGTCCCAAAGCAAAGGAGGGAAACGGGCAATATTTCTCATTACTTCAATGAGTATCTCAGATGGGAATTGACTTTTGACTCCTTTCCAAGAGAAATATGATACAAGAAGTTAAAATAAGGAACAATGATTAACTTCCGTACTTGGGGTATTTTCCTATTGTATCTTTATTGAGTGACTCAAGTTTAGTTTTCCATTCGTTTCTGTGATTTGACATTTGTGTCCTTCTCATTTCATCTTTTCATTGCATTCTGTGAGGTACTTCAGGGGCCTTAGAGTAATACGGTCTACCACTTAGCTTTCCTGGAAAATTGGAAAGCAGATATACTAAGACCACAAGCAGGGGGGAGAACATTACAGTATTTCTTTCCTCTGGCTCTCTCTCGATGTACTTTGCTTTATTTGTCTGCCTTTAAAGTATAAGGTCTCTTGAGCAGGGTGTGGCTCAATATTTGTCTTGATACAGTCTGAGGGTACTGTCAATGATTAACAGCTAGTGATTAAAAATAGAATTCTGCTCCAACATGGTTTAATGTTTCCTCTATTAAATTTTTTGAAGTAATGATAGAATTTTAATATTTTTTCAGACACTAAAAATGTTATTATATAACAAGATCAGAAATAGGTGAAGTAGTTTGCACGCAGTACTTTTCATGTGAAGCTTTTACAGTGCTATATGAAGGTAGACAGGTATTATCTACATTTTACATGTGTGGTGGCTGAGGCACAAAGGGGTTTGAGCTACAGTTTTCAAAAGTGACACCTAAATTTGGGTACCTCCATTTTTGGATGCCCAACTTGACTTAAGTTTGGTACTAAAAATGGAAACACCTAAAACGGTGGCCACTTTTTGGAAACTTTGGTGTAAGTGACCTCTCAAAGTCATACAACAAGTTAATGTCAGAATTTGAAATGAACTCATGTCTGACTCCCGTGCGTGTCCTCTACCCATTGGACATCACTGCCTCAAGACTATGGGACATAAGCTAGAAAAGTACTCTACACCCTAAAAATAAACCAACAGAATTTTTATGCATTTGATTCTCTTGATCTTCATAACTTCTAATACCGATATATATATAACAGGTGTTTGAAATGGATATCGCCAAGCAGTTGCAAGCTTACGAAGTTGAATATCACGTGCTTCAGGATGAGTTGATAGATTCGTCTCTCAATGACAATCAGAGAATGGATAAGTTGGAAAAGGCAAACACTAGTTTGAGAAAACAGAACTTTGATCTACTGGAGGAGTTGCAGGTACTGTTTATATTTCCAGCTAACGAGCCATTGAACCATTGTTTGTACATATTTTCAGAAGAGACCATTGTATAGAGGAGACGTGGGCCAGATTTGATCCAGGTTAAGGCATAACTGAAATTACTGACTTCAGTATTTCCTATTTACAGTTGGTACCAGGTGGACTTACCAGTATTTAAAACCTTTTAAGTTTGTCTTGAGCAGAGGTTCCCGAATGTAGGGCTTACTGGTGGCCTGTGGAAAGCTGGCTGGGGTCACATGATGCTGGCTCACTTCAGTTAATGTAATTTAGCAGCTGGAGAAGACAGCTGAAGATACATTAATGCAGTCTTAACATCATTTTCGCATTTAAGCAATTGCTGTAGTCAGGCAGTCACAAATGGGAGAGATGTCTATGAGACGCATTCTCTATTAAGGGGCGATCCTTGTTATGAGAAAGTTTGAGAACCCATGATCCAGGATGATGAGAAAGACATGAAATAGTACATCTTGGATGTCCAGAATCTGCCCTCAGTCCATTCAGTCTGCAGTTGTGTCAGTGGCTGCTTCAAAACTTGCCCTCTGAGGGATGAGAGACACAAGGCAGGTCTTCAGAGATGGTACAGTTGGTCTCTGAAGGAGCTGATCCACTCTGAACTCCTCAGGGCTCCTTCTTTCTGTCTGATTTGCAAAGAAACATGTTAATACAACTTCTGAGTACATGGGTAGTTTAAAGGGAATATGGGGGTAAGAGATGGGCTCTATATTTAGATTTTCAAGCTTCTTGGATCAAAAACAAAAACTTGGAAGCTAGATGACAGAGTAGGTAAGATGGAATACAGGCCTTTGGATGCTTATTCAAATCCTACTCAGCTTGGTTTGTTCCCTCAATCGTTGGCAGACACATTTTTTCCTTCTGAGTCATGAACGTTTCTGCACCTTGATACCTATGGAGTGTAGTTTTGTAGTGAGTAGAGCCCTGGATTAATAGTGATGCTATCTTTAATTAAAAGGTGGCAGCTAATAAATATAAAGATCTATTAGCTAATTATTTGTAGATTTAACTTTTAATCTGCTCTGTGGTATATTCTAGGTTTAATCATACTAGAGCCTAAACAATAAAGATTAGAGAGAGAAAGAGAAAAAAAATGGATTGTTGTCTGTAGACAATGCTATTTATAAGTAATACTAGGTTTGTGGAAGTAGCGGTACTTACGCTTTAATTCAGTGTGTGTTTTCTACATAATTAGAAGATCTGTTGCAAACATGACATATCTCAGTAGGACTTTTTAAAAGTCTGAAGGACTGAGGAGAACTCTGTCTGTAAGGTACACTGGTTTCACAGTTTTTTAGGAAATTCTTGTTTTCTTTTTCCCCTTAAGGTGGCAAATGGAAAGATCCAAAACCTAGAAGCTACAGTAGAATTTTTACTGAACAACGAGAGCAAATTGAAGCAATCCATTCTCACTTTAGAGCTGGAGAGGAAAGCTTTGCTGCAGACAGTGGAAGATCTACGCACGCAGACAGGCAGCCCAGGTGGAAAACATCTACTTACCAGGCAAGAGTGCATGGATGCCAACTGACAGCTGCAATTGTAATGGAGCAGACAAGTTCCACAAAGAGAAAGGGAAGAACTGTTTTTTACTGTCATCATTGGGATTTGACACTGTCTTCTTAGCATTGTCCATGCCTTACTGTAGCCGAGTGAGGGAATGGGAGTGTCTGCAAAAATATGAGAAGCACGTTTCTCAGGGAGGAGAGACTCTTGCTTGTTAACTTATAGAATTCTTGTAAACTATAAAATATGCAATATAATGATGGGCAGGAATAAATAACTAAATAACATATGTACACTCCAGATACAATGTACTGTAAATATCTGCGGTCATGGACTCTTCCATAAGTGCTTCTAAACCTAAGTGCTTCATATTGGTTACGTGTGTTCCTTTTTCTATTAGAAAACTCCACGTTTAATAGGTGTCCTGTAAAAGGCTGGAGAATTACATCAGTGAAGAGCTTTTGAACTGACTCTGTCTTTTTGGGACTACAAAGTATTAGCATTCACGGATAGGTTTGCGATCATACTCGATAGATTCTGAGGGTGTAATTCTCCTGTGGCTTGGCTGGGTTCCACTAATCATGTTATTAAGGCCCCTGATAACTGCTTTGTGTGCTTAAAGGTGTTAACTTAGTGGACCCTGGAGAGCTGGACTTGGTTGTACGTAACTATAATTGTGAAGCATTTTGCCATCAGTCTTTATAAAACATACTGTTTTAATACGTTTTGTTTTGACATCCATTGTTTTAGTACTGTTGATGGACATGATCTGATAAATGTACCATTGAAGGTAACTGCATTTTACTTTTTCAACAGAATACACTGACATTGTCATGGCGGAGTCTGTCACTCTCACAGCATTGTAGTGGATTTATCATCATGCCTAAAGGCGTCATTTTATTTATTTCTGATCTGCTGTGTGATGTCAGCCTCTTTCGGGGAACTGAATGCCTGCTGATTTTTAGTTTAGTTTGGTACTCGGTGCCCATCCACCCTTTGGAGAAGAACAATATTTAAGACTCTTTCTCTGAAATGGTGGAGGCACTTCAAAGCTTGATTTTGTGCCAGACATACTTACACTGCTTTATAAAGGATATTGGGCTAAAGTATGAATTAGGACCACGGCCTATTTACAATGCCTCTTTTGAGGAAGATTACACATTTTAAAAAGCTCACTTTTCTGGAAAAGACAATGAAAGTAGTTTTCCGGCCAGTTAAAGCACCACTGTTTCAACTACAGGTGCAATAATATCCAAGGAGATCCAGTTAACTTGGTGTTTAATTAGACCAAATAGTATCACAAATTTGTTCTTCCCCAAACTCAGTGTTACAGGTATCAACTTGTTGCTATAGTGGAGATTAGTATTTCAGATGTGAGTTTCCTAAATTGTCAATTTCTTATTCTTAAAATTTTAGGGCACATTTATTTCTCTAATCCACAATGTGGTGGAAGATCTTTTACTTCATGCATGTTTCTCTATGGTACATTCTGCTTACAGCTGTAATGTGCATTCTGGTGCGAATCCAATACTAGCATGTGGATTAAAGTGGAGAATTTGCTCTTTAATTTCCAAATTACAGATTGATTCTTGTAATTTCTTAGATGTGGCTGGTTCTCCAAATCCACATTGTTTGCTTAGAGTCTAAATTCCATACAAGCCAGACATTACAAATCTGTTTACCTCTTGTGTTGTTGTTTTTTTGAATTGAGAAACCATACAGAAGCTCACACTTCACATTTTAAAATCTCTTTACATCGTACCCTTTTACAGTTTGAGGGCTAAGTTATGTTGCATTTGGACATCTAGGGGCCATTACTCATACACTGGCTTTTTACATTAAACAAAAGAGCAACAGAGAAAAGTTAGTGATCCATGCCAAAATTTGTTTGCATGTTTTGTTGCATCTAAGAACAAAAACAAAGTTTTCTGTGTGATAGTTCAGAAGCTAATATGTTAAGAGTTTCCCTGAGATCACAGTATCATTTTTAAATAGTTATTAATGAAAACTGATGGACATCAAACTTTTTTAGACACACTAAGAACCCCAGTTGTGAACTTGGACCTGCGTCTGTATCTCTTGGCTCAGGATGTATATTTTTGGTATGACTCAAATTGTGCAGTAATTTGGCTCATGTTCTGCTTCTCTCCCAGTGTAAGTGGAGGAAAGCCTCTGGCCCAACGACTTTTTCAAGAATTTATTTTCCTTCAGACAATATGATGCTGAGTTGAAAGGGGTCTAGAACAACTGTTCCCAGAGGAGAGTGTGGTTAGTAGGTAGGCATCCATTTTCAGTCTCAAGTGTCCACATGTTTGTGACAGTTTGATTTTGCCAAGAAGCAGAGCTTTCCAGGGTGAAACCTGTCCATGTACAAATGCACCAGATTTTGCTAAAGTGGCAAATAGCATACCTGACTGACACACTGAGGCCCAGGCCATCCCCAGCACAGGATCTGAGCATTAATGGGACAACTGCATTAGGATCTCCCTTGCTTACATGGAATCAGATGAGCGTGCTGTTTCTGTGGGATCATTTTCCTGCCTCTTCTGCCCTGTGCCACTAGATCTCAAGGGGGGGCAGGAAGGAAGAACATGGAGTAAAGGAGGTGCCCTGCTCCAAGTCACCAACCCTTGCAAAGCCCAGGCGTTTCCATGCAGAAATGAGAGAGAAGTAATACAGCTTGGTGCTGTATGACACCCCTGACACACACCTTCAGGTCCCCTCTGCTTCTGGGGACTCTACCAATAGCAGTATAGTTCTGTGTTGCCAGGTGAAGAGGATCCTGAACTATCCCCACAGGCTGGTTGCTGTATCAGAACAGAAGGCATCTCCCTTACCTGTAGTTAAGAGATACTAGCGAGTTGGAAACCCATAAATCCATGTCCTAGCCTCCAAAAGGGAAAACTCCTCCCTCCCGAGGGAACAGTCTGAGGAAAGCTGCAAGTTGAAGCTCACAGAATTTTCTCCCCCTTGCCTCTCCCACAGGTGATTAGTCTCTTCCCTCCCCCCCCCACCCCGATGGTGCACAGAAAAGGGGGAGAAAAAAGAAAGGGGGAAAAAGAGAGCGACTTCCGAGGATTCCCCAGGAGATGGTCCCAAGAGTTCATTTTCATGCACAACTTGCGCCTTACGGGATGCTCTGCTGTGCTCGTTCTGTGACTAATATAAGGGTGCTGATGACGCACACTAGCGTACCAGCTCAGAGATGCACTGTGAACAGGAGAGGGTGTCAGCTAGTGCAGAAGAGAGACTTGGCCTGTAATGTGGCTAATCATGCCGTCTGTGACAAGAAAGAATCTGCTCCACTAGTGCTTTGCAGTCAACAGTGCCCCGTGGACTGCGGAGCTGGTCTGGCAGGTGGAATGCCACCCTGCAATAGCAGGCTTTCTTTTCCTTGTCCAGCATCTGAGAACATGCCGCTGCCCTCATTGCTGGCTCGTTGGCATGTCAATACCTTGGCCCATTTATTTTTAAGAGATGATTATATAGAACCTGAGAATAATGACACAGCGCCCATCATCTGAGGAGGTCGATGCACTTTACAAAGGTGGGTAAGCATTATGATTCCCCTTTAATACAGAGTGAGGAAGTGAGTCAAAAAGGAGTTGAGAGACTTGTCACAGGTTGCACAATGTGTTAGTGGTAGCTGGCACTAAAATCCAGGTCTTCTGAGTCCCAGACCTGCGCTCTCAAACACTAAATAATTCTGCCCCTCGTTGGTTACTGCAAAATCTCTGGCTTTCTCTGATGTTACTGTATCAGAGGGGTAGCTGTGTTAGTCTGGATCTGTAAAAAGCAACAGAGGGTCCTGTGGCACCTTTAAGACTAACAGATGTATTGGAGCATAAGCTTTCATGGGTGAATGCCCACTTCGTCGGATGCATGTAATGGAAATTTCCAGAGGCAGGTATAAATATGCTGGCAAGAATCATTCTGGAGATAACGAGGTTAGTTCAATCAGGGAGGGTGGGGTCCTCTGCTAGTAGTTGAAGTGTGATGTTAGTATGGTCTTCAGAGCCATGACGTTTTCTTTTCACTTTCAATTCCCCTTTTTCCTCCCCCTCCCCCCTCCAAAATGAGAGTGCTTCCTCACGCTTTCAAAGGAGGTGGATAAACCTTAGGCCAGATTCTGTACTGCAACTCTCAGGAGAGACAACACGGGAAGGCAGAGGGGATCGATGGTGGCTTCAGCCTAACTTTGTGGCTCTCAGATTCTAGCACTAATTAGAGCAGTGTCCTGGGGCTGGTCTGACTACTAACAGCTTCCTCAGACTTTCTAATCCGCTATTCTGCAGCCCAGAATGTCCAGAGGACACAGAGCTGCAGCAGTGTAAAAAGCAGAGCATGGGCAGAGCACGAACTGGCTTGATCCAATGACTGTAATTACACTCTTCTCCCATTGATCTCACACCCACACACCTCAGAGCCTGATGGGCAGGTGTAGTTCAGCTGGGAAGCTTGGCTCATGGAAAAGAATGGGAGCCTGAGGCACCATGAATGTATTTTCATATTGGAGGTTTTGGGTCTTTGGTTTTTCAACACAAATTGAAATTTTCCATGGAAACCTAACACTTCACATTAAGCATTTCATTTAGTCAAAACCCAATTTTCTGTCCAAAACCAGGTTTGATGGAAAATTTCTGACCCACCCTACTTAATATGCTACATTAATGTATGTGTCCCCATCTCTGAGACGCATGTAGATATTACGGAATTGCTGGAGCAATTTTTTAAAAAAATTCTGCCCTCTTACAATTGCAGAATTTGAATATTGAACTAAAGTGTTATTTGTTTACTGTAGTGAAAATTAAGCTCTGTTTGTTTCAACAGTGCTTGCTGTATGGGGGCATCTTGTGTTGGGCTGTGGGACTCATTTGAAAATGGGTATATTGACAAAAAGAGTATACCTTTATTTGGGTGGTTTGGCCACTTTCCCTTTCTTGGAGCAGATTAATATTTGTTAAATTGGTTCCTTTTCCCAAGCTATTGAGAGGTGAAGTAAAGAAGCCTTTGGAAATGCACAGCAACAAGAGTTTTGGACCTAAAAGACCTGGGAAGTGTGCTGTGTATTCCTGAGTGCTATCTACTGGTATTTTATCAACTAACTCTTAACAGATGTACAGACATCTCTTTTATAGAGCACTCCTATAACACAGACAAGGTGGTCTGGTGTCAGGGGGCAGAGATGCGATGGCCAGCAAATCCTTTTGGCCTGAGGGTGAGAGATTCTGTCAGTTTTTGCTAGTCATTCGGAATCAATTGTTAGGTCTGGGCTAGAGAGCAGGGATGAGAGCAAGTTCCACAAAAGGACATAGAATTTCGTAGAATCCTATTGCTCTCATTGGTCAGAGGAAAGAATGGGGTAGAAGTGTGAGTTCCTTTGGGCAGGGGAGAGCATCTGGGGAGGTTGGGGCCCTACAATGATTTGCGTATTGTATTTGAATATTAATGAGAACCCAGCATGGGCATTCTTTTATGTTGCGTTCAAATAAACATCCATTAATTAATAGAAATTCTGTAGCTGGCTCGCGGGAGAAGAATAAGCCACGTTTTGACTTTATATGCATACACCTTTCCCATTCTTTTCAGTGCACGTATCATGTCTATTTGAAGACAATTTCACCCTTACTATGGAATAAGAACAACAAATCTGTCAAGTTTTAAGGCTACCCAGTAATGGTCTCCACATTCAACCTTAACAATTACACATTTCTCCCCTTGAATTTAAGAAACTTAAGACCATTCCTGCGAGCCTTACATATGTGAGCAGTCTCTGGGCAGTACAGGTCTGTCGCATCTTACGCACATTTAACATGCGCGATTTCAACTTTACGCGGTCGGCAAAAACAAAAAAGAAAAAAACAACAATTTTAATACTATATCTGTAGTGCGGGCGATTTCGCCCACCATTGAACTCAATGGGGTTTTGGCTATACGCGGTTTTCACTTTACGCGTTAACCGCGGAACGGAACCCCCGCGTAAGATGAGACAGACCTGTATCATTGCGAGTGACAGGAGTGAAGCTTTGCATGATCATATCCTGAACTTTATTCCTGGTTTCTAGCTGTGTAAATGATTTCCATATATATTTTGTGTGTATACAACATATAAATGATTTGTATTTTTATATCAGTGAACTTAAGTTTGCACATTGCAGTTTTTACCCAGTAAATTTAATTTTTGAATGTTAACCTCTTCTGGTCTTGTTTTATCAAATTACTGTAGTGATAGTGTGTGTGAATATCGATGTTTCCATTACACTCATTTCCACCTGTATATTTTTTGCTATAGTAAGCACATTCTGCATGTATCAGAGGGGTAGCCGTGTTAGTCTGAATCTGTAAAAAGCAACAGAGGGTCCTGTGGCACCTTTGAGACTAACAGAAGTACTGGGAGCATAAGCTCTCGTGGGTAAGAACCTCACTTCTTCAGATGCATCTGAAGAAGT